ACATGTTATTTCAACAAAAAAAACATCAAATATTAAGTGTCATGCCGGGAATTCTGGGAGTGTCAATTTACGTTTTTTCACTGTTAATTATACAATGATTTTTTCTTTTTCACTTCCAAAAACCGTATTTTTAACAGTATTTTACTGTAGAATCACATTAAATGTAATTACATTTATTCACCGAATATAGTATGGAAACTTACTGTTAACCAGTTAACAGGTTTTTACTGTAGCATTTTTACAGTCTTTTACTGTTAAAATCACAATAATTTTTTACAGTGTATTTACGGTATCAAATATTTCTTCAAAGAATCTGATACTTTTTTTTTAGCAAGGATGTATTAAATTGATCAAAAGTGACAGTAGACATTTAGAATGTTACAAAAGATTTCGGTTTCAAATAAATGCTGTTCTTTTGAATTTTCTATTCATAAAATAATCCTGAAAAATAAAATGCATCACGGTTTCCAAAAAAATATGAAGCAGCACAACTGTTTTCAACATTAATAAGAAATATCAGAAATGTTTCTTTAGCAGCAAATCCATATATTAGAATGATTTCTGAAGGATCATGTGACACTGAAGACTGGAGTAATGTTGCTGAAAATTCAGCTTTTTACCACAGGAATAAATTACATTTTATAATATATTCACATAGAAAACTGTTATTTTAAATGGTAAAAAATATATCACAATTTTTCGATCAAAAAAAAAAAATGCAGCCTTGGTGAGCAGAAGAAACTTCTTTCAAAAACATGAAAAATGGTACTGATACCAAACATGGTATTACCAAGGTATCATCTCTCTAAAAAAAAAGCATGGTCATTTAAATATAAACCTGGTAGTTTTTTTTTTTTTTTTTTAAAGATGTATTTAACTTTTGAAATCTAAATGCAAAAGCAATAAATGTGTATAAAGAAAACATACCATGGTGTATAAGAGGCAGCGATAAAGAAGTATATGGCGACTCTATCACACATGTGGAAGCAGTGCTCCATGGTCCTGAGAAACAAAACACACAGGAGACAATATTAATGTGAATTGTGGTCACACCAGAGTTTGTGTACCATGTGCCCTGAAACATCATATTTTGAAGCATATTAAAGTTGATCAATCTACAGAATCACTATAGTGGTCAAAGAATACAAACTTCTGTTAAGAAAAGCTAAATGATTTGCACTGTCGTGAGAACTGAAGTGCAGTTAAGGGAATAGAAAATGCTGTACGATGGCAAACATACCTCATGTGGCTCTTTTTCCAGGAAATGATGTGAAAGACTGTGGAGACGAGGAACAGAGCGATCAGACCCATGCCGTACACGCAGGCCGTGATCCGCTCCCAGCGGTCATCAGACAGCCGGTGTAAGAGAGCCATTCCCACGAACGCCGGCACAATCAGCAGCTGCAGGCCAGAGTTTGAGGAGGAAATCAGCGTTTCATATGCCAACATTTAGGAGTGTCACATGACACTCCAAATAAACACTTAGCTGGATCTCTTTAATTCTATTCATTAAAGAATGAATGTTCGTTACGGCATGGGTGTAGCAGTTGGCCGCGTGCTCGTAACATGTGGGCTGGTAACGGCGGTTCACAGCTGCTCGGGTGTTCATAAACCTGAAACACAACAAACGACGCATTCATGTTTAATAACAACGGAGCGGAAAACAGACGACTTTCATCTGACATACGTTTGGACCAGTGTTGTTATAGTTAACTAAAATTATCTTTGAAATTCATCTTCATGGGGGAAAAAAAAAAAAACTGAAATAAAATCAAATCTAAAAAAGGTTTAGTTATACTTTATGTAAATATTCCAGTTAGTCGCCAAAATTACCAAAACTGAAAATAACTCAAAGCTGATAAAATAATGAAATTAAAAACATATTTAAAAAGATTAAAACAAACAAAGAAAACAAAATTATTAAAACTGTAGCTAAAATTAAAATTAAAATTAATATATATATATATATATATATATATATATATAAATCAAAACTAATTGTGAATATTAATAGATAATATAATACTATATTAATGATACTAAACACCATTATGCCAATATTCCAGATGGACACAAATTATGTAGTGACCAAGAATGTTTAAATAATTGTCTAAAAAAAAATTATCATGAAAAACAAATGCATCCAAATGTTTCCAAAATACACACTACAACATTTCTACATAATAATAAAAATAAAATTAAACTCAATTAAACCCTTGTTAGGAGACAGAATCAGTCTAAAATATAAATAAATGTTTTTTTGTTTTTATTAACATATGCATGTGTTTGTGTGCATAGACAACACCCTGTGACTCATTCTGAGCAGTTTTATTTTTATTTTTTTTTATTTCTCTCTTATCTTTCACTATCACCCCATCAGTAAATGGACACTAGCCTCATAATCTGCAGTGTGACTCATGCACATGCGTGTGTTTGTTTGTTTGTTTGTTTGTTTGAGTCTGAAACTCCTCAAGGATGCAGCAGTGATGTCAAACATGGTGGTGTGATGCAGTGGTGCACGCTCATTAAAAACACACACGCATCCGTATCCATGCTGCATTCCCCGCTCCCTGCGTCCCAACACCCACGCGGACCAATTCTGACACTGCTGATGTTTGGAGAGCAGATATCAGACCAGAAAACCACAATCAGACTGCAGAAATGAGTCTAGGAGTCAGTGTAGAGAATATGGAGACAATCTTATTTCAATGCAACGTCTCATCTCTAAACAGTGCATTTTTACTGGTATGATCAGACCACAGGACATGCTTTAAACTCAATGTGTGTTCTGATCTATAAATAAAGCATGCAGCTACAAGAGAATAACAAATAATAACGATATAAAATCTATAAATGGAATGAAATATAAACATGTTCAGGTTGCAGGATGAACTTTTTATCCCAGTGCATGGTCTGATTTCTGCATCAAGAATAGAGTTTATGGTCTGATCTGTGATTATGCAATATGCAGTCAACAAAAACACATGATCTGTAATCTATGCATGGTTTTATCTCCAAATAGAAAGTCAATAAAAAAATCTTATTGACTTGGTTTGCACTGAAAAATACATGATCAGACCACAATAAATACTGTCTGATCTCTTAATAGAGAATATTCAGAGTCAGTAAAAAACACTCTGCTTTCTATGCATGAACTGAATACATTAAACATCATGCATTAAAATAAAAGCATCACTTTAGGATGTGCCTGTATGTCAGTGAAAAGCACAGAATAAATAAAGATGCAGGATCTGATCTCTGGATATAGCTTGAAGATGCATGATCCATTCAATATCTGATTTCTGAACAAACAGACTGCATAAATGAACAACAAACACATAACAAGCAATAACAGAGAGCTCATACAATGCATTAATAATCATAACAGCACGTAATTGGACCCGTTAGCTGATTAGCCTCTGTACTCACCTCTGGAAACTATTAACTCTCTTCATCTCGCGAAATCGCAAATAAAAACAAATCTGAGATCAGTACATCAAGCAGATGATGAAAATGAATCAGATGTCCGAGGCCTGCGACGAAATCTCCATTCACAAAAATCAATCCCAGATTGAAACGAAACGCGTCCGTGGCACCATAACTGCTCAAATACACCCTAAATCATCCATAAGACGCCGTTTTGTCACATCACTTCATCTCGCGTCCGATCTCTCTCTCTTTCTCTGCCTTTATCCCTCTTTCTGTGTCTATCGAAAGTGATTAGCCTCTGTACTCACCTCTGGAAACTATTAACTCTCTTCATCTCGCGAAATCGCAAATAAAAACAAATCTGAGATCAGTACATCAAGCAGATGATGAAAATGAATCAGATGTCCGAGGCCTGCGACGAAATCTCCATTCACAAAAATCAATCCCAGATTGAAACGAAACGCGTCCGTGGCACCATAACTGCTCAAACACACCCTAAATCATCCATAAAACGCCGTTTTGTCACATCACTTCATCTCGCGTCCGATCCCTCTTTCTGTGTCTATCGAAAGCCGGAGTTGTACAGTTTAAGCATTTTTAGGCACACCTGATTGACGGGGCATTCAGCCAATGGGAGCGCGGTCGGCGTGAGGCGGTCGATGCGTTCGACCAATCATCGGCGGGAATGATATCGCTTTGTTTGACGCATCAATCAAGGGCGGGGCTTATGGTGGCGACAGAGTTGCCATACCTGTTTGAATCGTGTCCTGTTATTCAAAAGTGACACTGAAAAGGACAAATGACGCTTTCCTTTGTCATTCAGCTGAAATATAAAACGATAATTATTAAGTGTAACTGTAACCTAAACCTAATGCCATGAGCAACAAACCACTAATTTCCTTATTTCTAAAAATGTACCATGCTTTTGGACATGCACAATCTTTAAATTACCTCGGAGTAATTTGTAAATACCGTGGTATATGCATAGTGTAATCCAGGGGCGTAGCCATCATTTCAGAAGTGAGGGGGACAGAACAGACTATCCTGTCTCTTTGAATTTAAATCTATATTTATTCACACCGGCTCTTGAAAACCTCTATGCGAACACACTTGCCCGAAAAAGTGCGTGGGACGAATTTACGTGATATTAAAAGTGGGGGGGACACGTCCCCCGCGTCCCCCGTGTAATCTACGCCCCTGGTGTAATCGTTTAGTGCTTTGGTGCCAAATGACCCATTTAATAGGCAATAGGCCTACTATGAGGTACTTCAAATACCATGGAGGTACATGTAAATACCATGGTATATGGAAATGGTAATCATTCATTTCCAAAGTAGGCCTATGTGGTTTTACCAGGTGATACCATGATACTGCTGCTCTTATCTGTATCATCTGATATTTTTCTGATATCATCAAAGTGACATCATTGCCATTCCAACGAGTGCTTTTCTCTCAGTTTGGTTGCATTTTGTATGTTATTGTGTAATTGTGCACTTGTGCTCCTGTTTTGTACTGAATTTTCCCTCTGGGATGCAGGAATATTTGTCTCGTTGGACAGGCACTTCTTCTGAACCATTCTGTGTATGAACACACATACACTTAGGCATTAAATGTGTCCCGACCCGCATGTTGCAACTAATGCTAAAGGCAAACTTGCACAATATTAATGTGAAACAGCGTGTTTGGGTGAAGAGCCACCGTGGCTCAGGGATTCTGTGACCAGAAGCAACATTACATAAACCAGCAGCAACGGCATTAGATGTCACAGAACATTTATGTAAGGCTGTTAACTGAATTGAGAAGAAGTCTGTGTCGTGTTTCACTACATTGTGTCTTGTTTTCCAGGAAAAACATCCAAGCATCCTTGAGAAAATAATTTTTTCTTGTTTTGAGAGTTTGACAGAATTTTTCTTGTTTTCAGAGAAACTATCAAATTGTTTTTCATTGGTGCAAGAATAAAACATAGTTCTCCTTATATACCACGCAAATACTTTGTTGAATAAAAAGATATGGTACTCATTCAGTACAGTGCTGACAGTGAGATCTATTAACTGCACTACAGACGGATTTAGCTGTCTGACTGTAGGTATAATTGTCTCCGACTTTTGCTAATGTTCTCATTAAGTTATGAAAACGTTATGTCTGAGTATTCTTGGAACATTCAACACATCAAGTTTCTAAAATTATGTGAATGTTAGCGACATCATTAAGGGAATGTTCCATTTTAGAATTTTGCAAACATTCTGGGAATTTTACTTTCAAATGTTCTCTGAACCATCTGAAACTAATAAGTGAACTGTAAAAAAAAATGACCGTGAATTTAACGGTAAATGACTGTAAAAATGCTACAGTAAAAACCTGTTAAATGGTTAACGGTAAATTCCCCTTCTATATACGGTGAAAAACTGTATTGGACATTATATGTATTGGACATTAATTTTACGGTAGTATACTGTTTTTGGAAGTGAAAAAGACTGTAAAATTTACAGTGAATAACTGTAAATTGACATTGCCAGAATTTACTGCGTTACATTTCAAATTTGATGTTTTATTTGTTGAAATAACTATGTTTCTTCTTAGTTTTTTCTAATCAGTTTTATATATTAGAGTTGTGTGTTACACCTAATGTTGTTAAATGAATGTTTATTGCATTATTTCAGTTTCATGTGTGTTACCATGATGGTGTTTAGTGTTTGTGTGAATGACACTGTGCACCTTCTATATATGTTATTATCTAAAAGCTGCTTGTGATGGGCTTTGGCTCATCATGTGACTTTCTCA